TGAGGAATGAGTCAGAAGATACCAAGTAGCTGAGGCATGTGGGAGTACAGGCGCTATGCTAGTAAAGGCTACACATCCCAACAAAAAACAAAACAAAACAACTCCCCCCAAAAAACCCACCCACTGCCGGGCGGTGGTGGCGCACGCCTTTAATCCCAGCATTCGGCAGGCGGATCTCTTTGAGTTCAAGGCCAGCCTGGTCTGCAGAGCGAGATCCAGGACAGGCACCAAAACTACACAGAGAAACCCTGTCTTGAAAAACCATAAAGAATGAGCTGGAAAAAAACAGCTAAGGGGTGCACTTCAGCTGGGTGGGGTGCTTCAAGCCTTTAGTCCCAGCACTCGGGAGGCAGAAGCAGGTCAGCCTGGTCCACAAAAGTGTTTTCCAGGACAAGCTCCAAAGCTACACAGAGAAACCCTGTGTCGAAAAGACAAAAAAAAAAAAAAACAAAAACAAAAAAAACAACACACACACACACACACAAAAACCCTCCTCACACTAAAACCAAAACAAACAAAAAGGCTACACACAAAAAATCTGTACTAGGACTGGAGAGATGGCTCATCAGTTAACACTGGCTGTTCTTCCAGAGGTCATGAGTTCAATTCCCAGCAACCACATGGTGGCTCACAACCATCTGTAAAGAGATATGGCGCTCTCTTCTGGCCTGCAAGGTTACATTCAGACATTACACTGTATATATAATAAATTTTAAAAAAAGAAAAAAGAAAAAAATCTGTACTAAATTACTTTACAGTAAGATATAAACAAGCCTGGCATGATGGTACACGTGTAAACCACAAGATGTTGACAGAGTAGGACGAGGAGGTAAGACTCTCTCAAAGTATTAGCAAAGGGGTATAGGTCCCTAACATGTGAGAGTTCCTGGATCTGATTCTCAGGACAGTGGCAGAGAAAGGAGAGAGAACATATAAATACGAATGAGACTGAAGATAAGAAGCTATACTACCCCCATGTGTTCACTATCCACTCTCGGGTAAAGCAGGATTAACATGACTATTCACACTGACTGGCATTACTCCAACAGAGAACAGTACCCTCAGTATTGCTGTGAGGCAAAGACGTTTGGTGATACCCTGCAAAAACTACAGAATATTTTCACTTGTGCATTTCCCCAGACCAAGTGACAAAGACCAAGCAAATCGCTGCTTGTTGTGGCATAACCACCATGTAAGTGAGAACAACTTTTCACACACTCTAACTAAAGGACAGGGCAGCTGAGTTAATTACCGCAAATCTCAGTATGCAGGATGAGGCTGCACAAGAGACGGGAAGGAAACAACCGTTTTGATTTGGAGTGAACTCTAGGACAGATGGAGGGAGGGTAAGAGTGCTGTAAAGGGAAAGGAGCAAATATAAATAACCTATGTCGAGTACTTCCTGTAGAAGACAAACTAAAAAGGAAGTGTCCATTCACAGGATTTTAAACAGTACTTTATATCCTAGTGAGCTATCTCAATGAAAACGCACTGGATTGCATTTAGCAACCTTAGCATTATTTTGAAACATGTAAAACATGATATTTAAATTAAGAAAAGTATAATTAGGAGAGCCAAGATACTCAGCATAGACACATGTCAGAACCAAGTTTATAACTTCTATCTGTAAACCTGAAATGCCATCACGTGCTCAGATTCTCCTTAGGGATGGAGGAAATAAGGGAATGAGACTCCAGACCCTATCTACCCGGCTGGGAATGAAGCCGCAGTAAAACGCTTGGACAGCATGCGGCAGGCTCTGGGTGTGATGGGGGTTATGAATGGATTACAACCAATCATGAATACAACAATCACAGCATAAAAATTTATCATCCAGTGCGGTTGGGCACACCCTTAATTCTAGAACTCACATTTCGAGGCCAGCCTGGTCTACAGAGCGAGATCCAGGTCAGGCACCAAAAACTACAGAGAAATCCTGCCTCGGAAAACCAAAAACTGGCAAATAAAAGGTATTTTTCTGGTTCTCTTGTATGATTTTAGTTATGGATATCAAATAATAAGACAAAGAGTCAACCTTTCAACATCTGAACTTGTTAATTAATTTTAGTATATTTAACGCAAATTCATGCTGTTTCCTGAAGTGATCAAAAGGAGGGCTACAACATCATTCATGAAATACTCTTGTCAAAGAGACTGAATCCACACCGGGATCAACCCCTTGGGTCTATGCTGTCCAGTACAGTAGTCACCAGCTACACACTTGTGCTCTGTCTGAAAGACTACTCTAGCAGACATCCAACATTTCAACTGTGACTAAAAAAAGCTCTACCATACTGTCACACACAGGTCTAGTCTCCAGTCTACCAGATTATACAGGACATCAAGAAAAAAATGAAAATTTGAAACAGCCTACCACCTCCAGAATAGAGGAAACACCGTCATGATCAATCATGGTCACCACATGGAGGAGGAGAAAAGGGCTGCAGTGGGAATTAGTATACTGTTCAGATTCCTCAACTGAACTACCCAGTAAAGCACGTTTGGTCAGGAATGGTGGTCCACTCCTGTACCTAGCATTTGGGAGGTCCAGGCAGGAGGGTCAGGCAGGGGTACACCGGGCCCTGCCTCTCCACCTCAACCCACAAAAGAAAGGAAGCGGGGCCCGGCAGTGCACACCTGTAATCCCATCTCCCCGGAAGCAGGAAGGTTGACAAGCTGCAGGCCAGCCTGGGATATACAGGGACATACGGCCTCACAAACAGGGAAACAAGGCAGACAGAACGTGGAAAAGACAGATGAATAACAAAGTAACACGGCGTCTGGCTGAAAGAGTAAGGATGAGGAAAAGAACCTTGGGTACCAACCCTAAATCAGCGTCTGTAATGCTCCTCTGTAGAGTAATACATTTATTGATGCCTTGTACTTATTTTCTCCCCAATTTCCTGTAATTTTCCTTTTGGAAACTGTATCTTGTTCTCACCCTATGCCCAAATTGTAAATCTTTATCTTAAATAATGTAGTTTTAGAATCACACTAGCTTCATAGAGTAGGAAAAAGCTACAAGTGAAGAAACAAGGTAAATTAAAAAAATCTGGACACAATGACAAATATATATATTTTTCCAAGTTCCAAAGAAGCTGTATCAAAAGTGCATTTCTATCCTCTAAAACAATTCTTTCCAAAGGAAAGATCTCAGCAAAGCTGAGATCCCAGGTTCTAATCCGCCGCATCAAAATGAACAATGGGCAGGATGACCCACAGCAGACTGCTCAGCACGGGACAGACACCACAGGGCATGAACACTACTGACAAACCCACAGTGCATCTATTTTCCATACCATTTAACAATGAGACTACGTGGATGAGTAAGCTGGAGTGTGCACCAGCTGTTGACCAACGGTCACAAGACAAGACAGAGGTGTGCTGCTCAGGTGACTCACACCGGCACAGGGTGATCAGAAAACTTCAGATACCTGATTATGCTCAATTCTTCTTTGCTTGAGTGTTACTGGAGTCTTTGCTCTGCCCTTTAGTGGCTCTCTCTTCTCAAGCTTGAGCTCTATTTTAGAGTCTGGAAATAACATTGGAGAAAGCATTATCTACTGAAACACTTAGTTATGTTTTACTCATTATCACTTTGGAACCCTGGTTTTAGGCACATTAGTACACATGACAATCTGTTTGTCGTAATAAGTCGGTGGAGCAAAACTGCTCAGTAAAATTTATCAAACAAACAAACCCTCTTAAAACAAAACAAAACAAACAAAACAAAATAAAAACAGCCCAAACCTCGACTTTTATAATCTTAGTCCATTTTTATCCCTTCCCACTGTTTAATCTGATTACTCTTTCCTATTTAACTCTTGTCCATTTTTCCCACCCCTAGAATAACCTTAAACATAAAAGAATTCCAACTGCTCCTGTGGAGGCTTTTCACTAAAAACCAATGCCAATGTGGAGGTATTGTTTTGTCTAGGCAATACATTACTGCTATACAGCAAAGGCTAGCTGGTAAATTAAAATTTCGCATGTGGAAGGGGTGAATTTTAAAAACGAGATTGTGCAGCACCAATCACTTGACTAGGGGGTGCAGCTCAGTAGTAGAGCATGTGCTTGGGGTGCTGGGTTCAATCCTTAGCACCACATAAGCAAATAAAATGAAGTTTCTTATATCATAGTCATTAACCCAATAACACAGTTTAAAAAAGTGCCAAGTATTCCAATTCTTGTAGTCTTGGTTTTACCATAATTTGAAGACCTACACAGAATCTTTAATATACTGAGAAATCTAATTCCCGGCAGCCACGGTGGCGCGCGCACACCTGTAACTCTAGCACCTGGGGCCGCAGAGACAGGAAAATCTCGAGTTCAAAACTAGCCTGTGCTACACGGTAAGACTGCCTCAAGACAGAACAAAAACGTAACTTTTTTTTACTTTTATAATTTTTCATTTATAATAAAGCAGGTCAATTAATGCTGAAACTTTTAGTTCCGAAAATTTGCTTTCTTAGCAGAGAAACAATAGAATCCAGTCTTAAAGTTTAATTTTATACAAGCTCAATGTAGCCATGCTTCAAAGTGATCAAGATAACTCTGTGCCTTGCTGAGCCTCCTGTCTAATCTTCTTAGTCCAAATACACCTGCCATCCCCCTCCCAAGACAGTGATTGAACCAACTAGTTCAGACAGGTCAATCGGACCAGGCAACCAACTCCACGCCCAATCGTCACTAGATCTATGAATCTATCAGTACTGATAGATTATAAAATCCACTCTACCAGTGAAACAGAAACTGATTAGACAAATAAGTCATCTGGTTACAAATTAAGTCCTTGTTCAAATTTAGATTTTAATGTCCAATTAAATATATGGTCCTTAAATAGTGGAAAGGACATATGACCACCAGAATATTTTCAATTACACTGCTGGAATGTTTCAATGATGAAATGGAAAAGGTATGTTCATTCACAAATATTCAACTTGTTGAAGCTCCATGAAGAAAACACACATAAAACATGTTTCCGGAGACCACACAAACTGTTCAAATTTAACAACTTTATTGAATTTGCAGAAGCATTCTACAGGAATACATTGCTTTAAGAAACCACACAGCACTTAACAGGTACATGTGTACATGTACATTAGAAGACAAGTAACAAAGCTGCAGACGGAATGTGCAGTCTAAGAACATGGCAGTAGACATGTACACTCAATGGACTGTATTTGGTCATGCTTAAGACCATGTTCCGTGTCTCTACAGTCAAGCTACCTTACCTTACAGCCATACACATGGAAACAAGGCAATACATCGCTTCATACAGACAGACATTGGGGCATAGTAAAATCGCTTAAGGTTTTTAGAAAATAACTCAAATTTGCTTTTAGCATTCAGATCTGAAATTTAACTACTCAGGACATACAACATACCTTTACATACATGTAAGTAAAAAAGCCCTGTCTTCCCAGTGTCTTATTCATCTAACAAAGGTCATGTTGGGCGAACACCAACTGTATCAGAACATCTACTTATCCACAGCTGTGTTCCTCAGTGTGGTCTACATGCTCGCATGACTTGGCTGCCTCCTCTATCAGAACATATAGCAGCTGTGCATTGCTTTTTTCACTAAAGTGAGCACACATGTGAGGGTGTGCGTACATACATACAGGCACGCAGTGTACCTCTTCTCATTGTCTTACAAAGCATCTCTAGGTTTAATTCTTCCGTGAAACTCTTCTGGGCGGTGGTGAGCTGAACTCAGGGCCATGTGCATGCTAAGCACGTGCTGCTTAGCACTGAGCCGCTGCCCCTCCCCCTTCTATTCTCACAGAGTGTCTGCACCAGCACATGTGGGGACTGGCACTTAGAGTTACGCTGACCTAGAATTACCATGAAGTCTGCTTGCTGGGGACAAAAGCACGCACAAGGAGGCGGACAAATTTAAGAACGTGTGGCTACTTAGCCCAGGGCGACGAAAAGAGTAAGTGCAAAGGTCGCCTGGGGATGTCTTGCAATGTCGTGAATGGACAAAAGGCCTCCTAGCCAAAGATGTGTGTAACGAAAATGAGCAACAGAAAGCAGAGCAGACTGAAACCACAAGGGCTGTGGGCCTATTTCACTGCTGAGACTCGGCATTCCTGCACACTAGACTTTTCAAAGTAAATTCCCGTGAGAAGGAAAAGAAGACAATGATTTAAGTGATGAACAGTGTTTAACCCTGATCAAGGCGTAAAGAAGTATGTGAATGGCACTGATAAAAAAGAGGGAGGCCGCTGGGTAGTGGGGTGCACGCCCCAGCACTCATAAGGTGGGGGCAGGCAGAGCTCCGTGAGTTCAAGGGCAGCCTGATCTACAGAGAAACCCTATGGCGGGAAAAAAAAAAAAAAAAAAAATGATGATTCTACTGATACTTTAGTTGCTGGAGTTCTTTTTAAATCTAAGAGCTGTAAAATTTTTTATCAGAAAGAAAACAATTTAAGACTTGTGTAAAAGTGTTATGTAAAACAGGAAGCCCTGTGACTATTATGTAGAACTGAATAGTATTGTAAAATTAAAAACAAAAAACAAAAAAAAATCAGGAAGCCATAAACTTATGTGAGACAAACGTGAACTAAACTTAAACTGTACTAGGCTTCTCTGTGTGTCATTATACTATAATTGATGAGTGGAAGCTTAACACCTTGAAATTAGTGCTATTAGGAGATTAAAAAGGCCTCAAAAGAAAATTCTGGCATAGAAGTTGCTAGATTTCCTAGAAATGTTCATAAATTCTACAATCAAGGATAAATCCCTTTGCTTTTAACTACATTACTGTTTATTTCCACGCTTTTTAATAACTTTGTGTACTTCCCCTCCGAACAGTGTTCCACCCTTAAAGGGGGCGACTGTCAGTTTCTTCTTAGAAGCTGGGGCAATCTTAGAGTCCTTCAGCCACAGATGACGCCGACCCATAGTTGAAGACCCCATGATGTGGGCAGACACCCTCACCTCATCAAAGGCAGCGTCACAGAGATACGAAGCTGAATCATAGGTTCTGCTGAGAATCTCAAGGGCTTGGTGTGCACGACTGGGATCTGAACTAATGATCTGTGCGGCCCGACTTAGGTCGGCTTGCAGAGACTTAGCCACAAAGGCAGTGTGGGTTGCAATCTGCAATGCTGATGCCGCAGCTTCATAAGATCTACAGAGAGCTAAGTCCAAATGTTTGTCACAAGACTCAGTGGAGGACGCCTGAACTGCGGCGCGTGGGGTGGTTTCAGGGACAAGCCCCAGGATTTCGTCATCTACCGCTGGAACCGACAAGATCCGTGTTGCCTCGCTGGAAGAAACTGGGTATTTGCGTGCCAGTGAAGGCAGCCGCCTGTCAACTTGCTCCCACTCCTCTTCGATCACTCTTACAATCGATTCGTGGAGAGGAAAAGATGGCTCGGGGGCATCTCCTTTACCATGCTGTGCTTGCTGAGACACTTCTATCCCTAAGGTTGTAAGGGAACGAGAGACAACACTCTCGGCAAAAGAAGACGCATGTTCAGAAGCAGGCGTGTTCTGAAATGCCACACGTGAACCTGACTCCCCTTCCTTCCCGGGCGTCTCACTGAGTCTGGGGACTTTGCGGGGAGGAGACAGGGGTTCAGCAGACTCTTGCCGATTAGACTGGCTAAGTCTCTGGCATATGTTTTCTATATCCAGTGTGGGTACAGAACCGGAGATCCCAGGCACGCTGCTGACCCCACCCTGGACTAACAGAGAATTAACGTAGTCTCTGATGGCGCGAGCAAGAGGTGGAGAGATGACCTGGGACCTCTCTGACTCCTGCAGTACCTCTGTTTCACTGCAGATCACGGACTGATCGGACACACCAGGCCCCTCAGCACCGGAGGGCCGAGCTCTGCCTTTCCCTCCACGGCAGACACTTTCTACTACGTCCTTACAGTAAGTAGTAGTGGTCTCTCTCATCAGGGAGGGAGAAGCTGCAGCGGAGGCCAGCCTGGCAGCGAGTTCACGCTGAGCGGGTGATGAAAAACTTTTCTCTACACACCTATCATAGCTAGACTCGGAAGGAACGAATACATTCCGCCCAGGGGCCAACCTCTGCACCTGTCCCTTCCCAGGCAAGGCTGGGTCAGTGAGAGGCTCCCTGGGGGGGTCTCCCTTAGAAGTGTGGACTCTCTTAGCTGCCTGCGCTTCCGTCCTGCCCAGAGGAGGGCGGGTGGAGATTTCAGGAAAAGAAATACCCTGAAAAAATCCACCAGAGGGAGCAGATGCAAGTTCAGAAAAAGGAACAAAATCCCTAGTGGCCTTCACTTTCTTGTGTTCTTTCTTCTTCCCTGTAGAGGCAAAAGAGGCAGGAAGTTTAAGCATGACTGGTCTGGGCTGGTCTTATTCTGCCTCCTTGCTAAAACAGTGTTGTTGAAGAAAAGGACCCTATACTTCACGCTCCCAGAAAACCAGCCTGGGACACGGTGCCTTGGAAGGCACGGTCAGCTTAGAGATTTACAAAATCAGCAGATTATGAGTTAAAACTCCAAGTACCAAATTCTGCATTTACTCTAATTTAAAAAGGAATGTACTTCCTGTTCTATTCTCAAAAATATTTAAAATCATGGTCAAAATTGCCATGAAATCAAATTATGTAAGCAAAATCTTTTAAATAACTTGTATGCCTATCAATAGAGAAGAAAATGCCATATGATACTATATATTTATTATAAGGAATAAACACAAACATGAAATATGATCCAAAATATAACAAGGAACAAAATAGCACATAAAAGACTACGATATCATTTATCTAGATTTTTTTTTTAAAAACAAAGCATTTATCAAACTGATCATTGCATATAAAAATTGGAAAGATAGATATCAAATTAATGATTTCTTCTGGAGATGTGATAATGGGGGAAGAAAAATTTTGAGAAAAGTTCCCTTTGAAGCAAAAGTGGCTATTTAGACATCGATCTTGTCGATATGGTTTTAAATTTCCCTTCTCCACGGTCAGCACCAAGCCGGGAAAACCCACGTGTATCTGATGAGAGCATTTACAACTCACCGTCATCGTTGTCACTGTATCTGTCGGAGTCGTTACTTCCGTTCTGTCTTGTGTTTTCTGCTGAAGAAGAGACTGTTGGTAGAGGCGTAGATGACCGTGATTCTGTCCCCTGTTCCCTCAGTTTCAACAGCTTCTTCTCATACAGCTTCCTGGTTGTCCCTGGGATAAGGCAGAAGTTCCATTAGTATTAACATGAAACTGTCTTTTTACAAGATTAAAAACAAACAACAAAAAACCATTATGTGCGTGTGTAATGCAGATGCCTGGAGACCAGAGGAGCCAGATCCCCCTGGAGCGGGAGTCACAGGCCATTGTGAGCCACCCAGTGTGGGTTCTGGACAAGACTCAAGTCCTGACAAGAGCAGTGGACTCTTCAAAGCCCCAAAGATGGGACCATCTTTCCAGCCCCTACAGGAAACCAGTTTTTAAGCAATGTGCTTGCCATTTCTAAAGTGATTAAATACAATACATAATGAACTCTTCTCTGAAACGGCTGTTTCTCTGAGACAGAGTTTCTCTGTGTAGCTCTAGCTGTCCTGGAACTCACAGAGCTCTGTGTGCCTCTGCCACCACTGTCTGCACAAGATCACAATCTTATTAAAAAGATCTTATTATTTATGTGAGTGGGTGTCTTGTTGGCATGTCTACCTGTACATCATGTCCCTGGTGCCTGTGTAGGCCAGAAGAGGGTGTTGTACACCATCACCAATAGTTGTTAGCCACTCGGGCGTGGGGAATCAAAGATCTGCTGTAAGAGCATCTAGTGTTCTTAAATGCTGAACCATCTCTGCAGCTCCCCAAGAGCTTTTTTATAAACAGATGGGAACTCTGAACAAAAAATGACTGTACTTCACAACATTAAGAGATCAATATGCCTAGAAATAGTCAGTGAACCATGGATTAAATTCTATAAATCATACTTGAATGTCTTTAATTTTCTACTTACATTAGGCATGCATCTTTCCTTAATTTCTGGAAGATGATATGACAACTGGTTTATTGTTCACAAATAACACCTATTTACTATATAAGTAGTCTTAAGACAACTGGTACATTAACATGTAATTTAGCATATTTCATGTAATATACAGTTCAGTGTTTCTCAGAATTTTACAAAAGATATCAAATGTCTATTGGTAATTACAGCCACAGGTTTGTCTGAGAATAACCTATGAAGTGCAAACTTTTAAATCCAGCCCTTGAGTGGCAAAGCTAGGTAGGCTACATAGTAAGGCCCAGGCTCAAACAAACAAAAGACAAAACCAAATCATTGTTCCCACTATAGCTATAACAAAGCCCACGCAATCTCCCCCCAGCCTTCAAAATTTTACACAGCCCTGACGCTGCGTGTGAATTTTTCTCATCTTAGGGTTACTGTGTAAACCCTGTAAGAAAATCCTAACTAGGGAGCTGGAAAGATGGCCCAGAGGTTAAGAGCACTGGCTGTTCTTCCAGAGGTCCTGAGTTCAATTCCCAGCAACCACATGGTGGCTCACAACCATCTATAATGAGATCTAGTGCCCTCTTCTGGTGTGCAGGCAGAACACTGTATACATAATAAATAAATAAATCTAAAAAAAAAAAAAGAAAAAAAGAAAAGAAAATCCTAACTAATCTGGCAAACTCCTATCTAGACAAGCACATGAGGAATCTAGAGCACTTAGTTCTGCATGCCTTCTGTTTCATCTGTTCTTCAGGGTTATCAAGACAGAGTTAAAAAGACTTGAATGCTAGTTAGGAAATGGAACTTGTTAGTTAGGAACTGAGTAATCTGCACTCTGCTCACTGACTGAGAGGATTTGACCAGATTTTCTTCAACTGCCAGATAAGATCCAAGGCTTACAGAATAGCTCAAAACGACCACTGACCAGGACAACATCAGCAACAGGTAATTTTACATTTCATCCTCTACCGAAACTCTCATTTTATTTTCCTCATTGAGAGTTAATGAAACTAAAATGTTGATTGGTTACATAAATACTGACAGCCCCTGAAGACCCAAATTCTAACCATTACTGAGAGTAAAAAATGCTCTGGGCTCTTGCTTCTTAGAACAGACATTTGGGACGTATCAACTTACCCACAATGGGACCGGGATTCACCCCGTATCTCACAAGCTGATCCAGAAGTTCTTCATTAGAGAGCTCTGTCACATCTAGGTCATCTTTATCTTCTAGTCTGGGCTTATCAGTTTTCTTTGTGGCTTTCTGTAAACAAAGTACAATTACCTTCTCTACATGAAAAGTATTCATTTACACGACATTCTCTATGCTATCAACAGGTGACTTATTGTTACATTAGCCACAGCAATTTGGCTAAACTAAGACCCATTATTGGAAGGCTTTTCTAAGCTCAACTGTAGTTAGACTGTACAAGCTGATACACAAGTAACTTAGATGCTAAACACTGCTGTTGGAGGTGAGGGCACGGCTCCATGTCAAGGCCCTGCCTAACCGAGGAGATAGTAATAGTGTGTCCTTTGACACACATCAAGTGTCCAAAAGGAAATAAAAACAAAGTAAAATAAATTAACTTTAGTCAACACACCTTACATATTCTTGGGAGTCTTGGAATCACAACCATGCTACCATGCCTGACCCAATCTGATTCGTCATATTAGGCTACCATTTTTAATGTGTAGTTTGAGTAATCTGGGTATAGTATGTAAGAGAGCATGAGAAAAAAGGGCAAGAACAGTATCACATTTTTACCCTAAGCATCAAAAGAGACAAAGGGGGGCACAGAATGACGCAGCAGTTAAGAGCACTTTAATTCTCAGCACCCAGTTGGTAGCTCACAACATTCTCTAACTCTAGTGTCAGGGATGTGAATGGACACTGGACAAGTGGTACACAGACATACATGCAGGTATAACACCCACACACATAGAATGAAAGATTAAAACAAAGAAACAGCTTAGGCTGGGCAGTGCTGGCGCACACCTTTAATTCCAGCACTTGGAGGCAGAGGCAGGAGGAACTGTTGAGTTTGAGGCCAGCCTGGTCTACAGAGTGTGTTCCAGGACAGGCACCAAAAACAACAGAGAAACCTTGTCTTGAAAAACAAAACAACAACAAAAAGCTTAACCCATAAATAAAACAAATCAAAGTGCAATTTGATGAGAAAAAAAATTAAGTCATTAAAGAAATCTATTTCTTATTAGAAATGATGGGGCTGTGAACATAGCCCCACAGTGGAATGTTTGCCTAGTATGCCCTGGGTTCCAGTCTGCCCTCAAAAAGAAAAGAAAAAGAAAATAATGTAGGCTTTTAGAAGCAGGAAACCAATTCACACTTCCATAATGAAAAAACTTCAAGTGAACAAAGAAATTTTTTGAGTGGGCTATATGCTCTCATAAAGTGAACTATCACCAGGCCGCTTGATTTTAAAATTTAATCTGCCTTGGGAGAAAAGTTCCAGAAAAGTAAATGTCACCTAATAAATATTACATTTAGGAAGAACAAAACTTGGGAGGTGGATAATCTGTACACATGATTAACAAAGCCGCAGATTCAATTAAGAAGGAAGTAGTAACTGTGTGGAATTCTCCTGACTTTAAAAGTATATAGGTAGCTCTTTTTCTTTAAAAAAAAAAAAAAAAAAGTCATGGGAACGCTTGCTCTGCCAGCATGCACTGTGCATAGACCATGTGCATGCAGTACCCGCGGAGGCCACAAGAGGGCATCAGATCGGTGGAACAAGGAGTTACAGATTTCAGCAACCAAGTCAGTGCTGAGAAGCCAACACAGTTCCTCTGGAAGAGCGGCCAGTACTCGAGTGCTGTAACCCAGGGTGAGACCTTGAACTCCCAGCAATCCTTCTGCCTCCCGAGTTCTAGGTCTAGATGATGCATGAACCAGTATATCCAGTTACTATTATAAAACATTCCCCTGAACATCTGTTATGTATCCAGTTGAATTTTAAGTGCATTATATTTGCACTAACTTAAGGAACTCTATAAACATTAAGCCAGGCAAGGTGGCCTGCACATTTAATCCCAGCAGAGGTAGGCAGATGTTTATGTCTGGTTTTTTAGAGACAGGGTTTCTCTGTGTAGCCCTGGCCATCCTGGAACTAACTCTGTAGACCAGGCTGGCCTTGAATTAAAGAGATCCACCTGCCTCTGCTGCCTGAGTGCTGGGATTAAAGGTGTGTGTGTGCCACCACCACCTGGCAGCAGGCAGATCTTTGAGTTGGGAGGCCAACCTGATCTACACAGAGTTTCAGGACAGCCATGGCTACATCTAAAAACCCTGTCTCAAAGAAACAAAAAAGAATCCTGGGGTTGGGGATTTAGCTCAGTGGTAGAGCGCTTGCCTAGCAAGTGCAAGGCCCTGGGTTTGGTCCTCAGCTCTGGGGGAAAAAAAAAAAGAATCCTAAAACTCCCGTGGGATAGACACATTAATATCTCCATATTATAAAGTAAGGAAACTGAGACCCAAGGCTAATCTATTAAATCTTCAGTGTGTTCTCTAGTAACATTTACATGGACATCATATAATTCTTTCACATGCACCCTTTCCTGGAAACTATTATCACAGTAACTTTGCACCACATTACCCTGACATTAAAGAAAGCAATCAGAAAACATATATAGTATAAGCTACTGAACACAAGGCACACACTTATGAAACCTAATTAATCAATTTCCAACCTAATTAAATGATTACTAGATTTCTACATTTTATATGAAAAGGCCAGGTGGTGCAGAGAGTTCAAGGTCACCCTCCTGTCCTATATAAGAGTTCAGGTCTAGTCTGAGCTACAGGAAACCCTGTCTCAAAACAGGGGGAAAAAAACAACCAATCACAGGTTTCATTTGTCACTCCAGACATGGTGGGTCATACCTGAACTCCCAGCACACAGGAGTCTGAGAAGAGGACCCTAAGTTTGATGCCAGCCTGGGCTATATAAATTCAATAAATGAATAAGTGTGCATGAAGTTCTCGATTCAACCTCCAGCCCAAAACAGTCTCCCTGGACAGGTTCACTCAAGAATGTCTCCTCTATGCTCCACTGGATCCCTAACAGCACAACTTGTATTCTCTGCACGCTCAGACAAAAAGGCAGATTGCCAACTCCATAAATGTTTACTCTTGTGCCCACTATCTAGATAATTGTAACACCTAAAAATACTGATATCAAGACAGATCATTAAAAGCCTAAAAACAAAACAAAACAAACACACACACACCCGCGCACACACACATAAAAACACAGCCAGCCCCCCCCCAATCATATGCACCCAAGGTAAAATACTATGGTGGTGATATTTATCCTTTAATTTATAAATATAAGTTTAAATAAATAAATAAATAAATAAATAAATAAAGGCTGAGCATGGCAGCACATGCCTGCAATCTAGAACTTAGGAGATCACAGCAGGAAAAACATGAGAATAACTTTATACAAGCAATCACAAATGTTCTACAAGACTTAAAAGTGGTAACTTAAGATTCTGAAATAAAAACTCATTTTATTCATGTATTTAAAACAATACAATGTCAACTAATGGCCAATATTAATTTTTTGAGTAGTTGATATTGAGTCCAATCAAAGCTATACACCTAAAACATTTTAAATGTTGCAGGTGGAGAACACAGACCTATCATTATGAGACCCACAGAAAGAACCCCTGCCATACAGCTAACTAGAAGATACACAGGACATAGGAGGTACTCTGCCTCCTCCCCACCCCCAAGTGATAAGGGCTCAACACAGCGCCTAGAGCATTCTAAACTGTCCCTCCACTTGACTCTATTGTAGGTGCTCAAAAAAAAAAAAAAAAAAAAAAAAAAGAGAGAGAGAAAAGAAAACGGGTATGATCATTCATGTAAAGATGAGCTGAGCTGAGGAAATAACACAGCTTTTAAACCCATGAAAGCTTCAAGCCCACTGTGTAGATAGATGACTCTGAACTCCTGATCCTCCTGCCTCCACCAGATGAACTGGGATTTAATTTTTTACATCCAGCCAGAAGCTTTATGGCTTATACACTTGGACAAACACTTGGATGATTTAACAGAATACCTGCCTGACCATGTGCCATTTGAAATGGAAAATATCTCTTTTTTTCCTTACTAAATAAGTACCAAGATAGTTCAAATGCTACCTCCTTTTGGGTGGGGGGGGTTGAGATAGGGTTTCTCTGTGTAGCCCTGGCTGTCCTGAAACTCACTGACCCTTGAGTGCTGGGATTAAAGGTGCCTGCACTATGCCCGTTTTGTGTGTGTGTGTGTGTGTGTGTGTGTGTGTGTGTGTGTGTGTGTGTGCTCGAGCGCGCGATGCGCAGTACCTTTTAAAAGAGCTGATGGAGAAGGAGCTGGAGAGATGGCTCAGTGGTCACTAGCACTGGCTGCTGTCCAGAGGATCCAGATTTGATTCCCAGCACCCACAGGGAGGCTCACAACCACATCTAACTCCAGCTCCAGAAGGTCTGATGCCCTCTTCTGGCCCCCTTGGGGAATGAGCATACACATACACATGATGGGCATACATACATGCAGGCCAAACATTCACACACATACAATTAAAAAAGGAGCAGCCGGGCGGTGGTGGCGCACGCCTTTAATCCCAGCACTCGGGAGGCAGAGCCAGGTGGATCTCTGTGAGTTTGAGGCCAGCCTGGGCTACAGAGTGAGTTCCAGGACAGCACCAAAGCTACACAGAGAAACCCTGTCTCAAAAAAACAAAAACAAAAAAGTAGCAGGGTGGTGGTGCACACCTTTAATCCCAGGACTCCACTCCGGAGGCAGAGCCAGGTGGATCTCTGTGAGTTCAAGGCTAGTCTGGTCTACAAAGTTCCAGGACAGCCAGGACTGTTACACAGAGAAACCCTGTCTCACCTCTTATGGGAAAACACCAAAGTGGGATTACTAGACTGATGGTAGTCTTTTTAAAGCTGCTGAGGAGACCTGGCTTCCACATCTTGCCCTAAAATGGTGACTGTCTGACCTGAGGCTGTTTTTTTTCTCTTCTACAAAATAAAATCATTAATATCCATCAAAAAACAAAACAAGCAAACAAAGAGACAAAGGGGTGCACTTCAGCTGGGTGGGGTGGCTCAAGCCTTTAGTCCCAGCACTCAGGAGGCAGAAGCAGGCTGATCTCTGTGAATTCCAGGCCAGCCTGGTCTACAGAGCCAAGTTCAGGGCAGTCAGGGCTACACAGAGAAACTCTGTCCCGAAAAACTTAAACCAAAAACAAAACAAAAACCTAAAAAGCAGTTCTCCTGTTTAAGAGACAGGGTCTCATCAATGCAACCCACACCGACTCAAAACTTCTTGTGATCCCGCCTCAGCATCTTGAATGCTGGAGTTTGACTTGAGCCTTGCCACTAGTAAAATCGACTTAAAGTGTGCGGGCGTGTCTTCCACGTTTTTTTTAAGACACATGCTACTGCTGCACTCAGTTCTTTATGTAGGTGCTGGAGATCAGACTGTGCATGGCGGGTCATTTCCCTAGCCCCCTAAAGTGGGTTTAAACCCACAAAAAAGCATGGAATAGCCACCAAATAAATCACTACGCACGCGCACGGGGCGGGGAGGGTTTCTTTTTTGGTTTTTCGAGACAGGGTTTCTCTGTGTACTTTTGGTGCCTGTCCTAGATCTCACTCTGTAGACCAGGCTGGCCTCAAACTCAGAGAGATACACCTGGCTCTGCCTCCCGAGTGCTGAGTTTAAAGGCATGCATTGGGCAAACAAAATCAGTCATAAACATAATGGATGACACTGGAGATTACGTTATGTGAAACTAGCCAGTCAGGTATGGTGTAACCCCATAATCCCAGTACCTGGGAGTCAGAGGCAAAGTCATCCTTGACTACGGTGAACTCAAGACCAGTCAGGGTTACACGAGACCCTATCTCAGCTTCCCTTCCGAAGACAAATATCGCATATTTTCTCTCATATGCAGACTCTAGATATTGTTTTAAAAAGCACGACATGTAAAGTAGAAGGGGGTAACGGGACTACTGGGAGGGCAGAAGGGGCGGGGAGTCAATGGGAGAAAATCGGAAACAACTTGATACACATGTAAGTAAAAATTCCAGATGAAATCCATTATTTTAACTAAAAAAATGTAATAAAGTGGTATGTTTGCCCCCAAAAATCCACAAATAGGGAGACACCAAAGACAGCAATAGGTGCGACTGGCCAACATTTATGTATTTATTGGTTTTAAACAAGAGCAAGTAGCTAAGGATCGCCACGATGGAGATCCCATCTTCCTCTCCACCCGATCAACCGGGAAAAGAAGCTCGGTGGAGTTTTCTCATCTAAATCCGCACGTGCCTATGACGTATCCTTCCCTCATTTGGGCAATCAGCGAGAGACATCAAAACAAAACAAAACACCAAGATTAAACAAAACACCGTAAAACTTTCAAAGAAGCAACTGGCCCGAGGTGTGGTTCCGCGCTGGCACATGCTACACTGTACTGGGTGGGCTGTGGGTTCAATTCCCAGCACCGAGAGAAGCAAGCCGAGATTTTTTCCCCCCGGCTATACCAGTAAACAGTAGCAACAACTCCAATCAAAACGTTCACTGGGTCTCTCAAAGATTTTAAGTTACACCAGTCACGAGTCTTAATTACTCTTTAAGACTTGAATTCTGGTAACTAAGTATAAACCAACAAAATACTATTTAAAAGGTACAACAACAAAAAACCCCAAACAGTAAACATCTGAAGGAACCCCTCTTAGATTTCTAGGGTCTGAGGCTTCAAACTGTAACACGGATACATCAGCATGTCATAATTTTTTTTTTTCTGCTTCCGAATCCTTCCTCCCTCAAGCAAAATCTTGAAAACGGTATAAACAACTCAAACTCCTACTAACTAGGACCCTCCAAAACGTCTAGGGGAGCGGCTGCTTTTGCAAACGCGGTGTGACGCATGCCATTTGCAGTACAGCTTAACCCACGAGAAGCGGGGGCCCGTGGACCGCACGCGAGGACGAGGAACCCAACGGTTCCAAGAGCCCCCGGGAGGCACAGAACATTTTAAAAAAAAAAAAAAAAAAGGCGGGAATGTCTTCAGTTCAAAAAAAAACCGGCCAGAAAGGACGATGTCGCCAACTGCCCTCCAGGGAGCGCTCTGACACTCGGTTGCGACTCACTCGGGCCCGAAAGCGGGAAAAATGCTCCAACTTCAGCCAGGGTGCAAAGAGGCCAAGCCATCGGGATTGGGGTGGGGTGGGGGTGCTTTTTGCAAAGGAGGCCGCTTCTACACCGGCTCCCGATCTTGCAGGCGCGCAGGGCGCAGGGCCCCGGGGCAGAGCAGCCAAGTAGCCGAGGCGCGGCGGCTCGCACCGATCATCCTTCCCCTCCCCGTGCCCTCCCTCCCTCCCTTCCCGGGCCAGCGGCCTGGCGACCACGGCACCGCGGGCACCGGGGTGGGGTGGGGTGGGGTGGAGGGGACCCCAGGCCGGGAGGGCGGGCGAGCACGCGCCCCCCAAACGCCCGCCTCCGTGGCCCCGAGCTGGGGAGGTGGGGGAGTGGGGGGGATAGCGAGCCTTACCCTGCCGACGGCGGCCCGGCCGCGGCCCGAGGAGGCCCCGGAGCCGAGCACCGGGGTGGGCTCGCGCTCCTCGTCGCTGGAGAAGTCGGGCGGCCCCTTGCTGTTGGCGCCCGCGGCGAGCGACGACGAGGACGAGGACGAAGCCGGCGGCGGCCGGTTGCGCGCCGTGAGGTGCTGCAGGTAGAGCTGCACGTAGACGTCCTTGCGCTGCTCGCCGGCCGGGAGCGTCACGTTGTTGGCGACCAACTCGCTCTTCAACTTGTCTTTGGTCAGGACCGAGGGGTCCTCCAGGAACTCCGGCATCTTCGGGCTCGGCCGACACGGACCCCTCTCCCCGGGCCCCTTTTACAGTCGTCGCTCGCTCGCTCGCTGCTGGCCCCGGGCGCTGCGCCGCCGCCGCCGCCTCGCGGGGGAAGAGGAAGAGGAGAAAAGGGGGATCCCTGGCCGGGAGCAACGCCGCGCGCGGGGCAGCGCACCCAAGTCGGGACACAAAAGCCCCCGGCGCACGACGAGCGAGCAAGTGCGGCCAAAGCCCGGAGCCCGCAGCCAGCCTGAGCCGACACACACACGCGTGCACACGCACACACACGCACACATACACACAGACACACAACCCGGAGGGGGCGGGAGGAGGAGGAGCAGCCTGGCTCGCGCACGCCCCAAGAACGCGCGCTGCCATTGGCGGGCGGCGGGAGGGAGCGCGGCGCCGATTGGCTGCGCGCCTCGCGCGGGTTCCAGCCGCCGCCGCCGCCGCCGCCGCCGCCAGCGCCGCGGCGCAGAGCGAGAGGTGCAGAAACGCAGTTTCAAAGGCGCTCCGGGGCGGGCGGGCGAGCGGGAGGGCGAGCGATCGGGCGGGGAGCCCGGGCTCGGGCGGCCCCCCGCTGTTTCCTCGGTTCTCCACCCTTCCCCTCGGACGCTGATAAGGCACGGGCGGGACCGTCTGGGCGCCCCGTTTCCTCTTCTGGCTCCCCACACACTCCTCCCCACCCCCTGCTCCGGAGAAGCTTTGCACCGGGGTCGGTCGCCTTCGGAACGGCCGGAGTTTGTGCGCCAGCTGCGGGGGAGGACCCTCTGGCCCCCGGGCCTGGCTCCCTCCCGGGTCGCCGAGCCTCCCCTCCTAACCCCCCCGAAGAACGGCGACAGCCTGGCCTCCCCCCCTGCCCAGTGCTGGCGCTGGAGGGGAAGCAGGGGAAGCCAGGCAGGCTGTGGGCGCCTGTGTCCCCCCCAGATGTGAGTGGAAGCGGGGCGCAGGAAAGGCAGAGCCCCTCGGTTCGCAAACGCTTCTTTTGTTCTGGAATCCAGGGAAGAGCCGGACTTCCACAGCTGGATGGAGTTCATGCTCCTTGAGTTTGTTACAAAATTGCATTTTTTTAAATCTCCCGTTCGCTTCTTAACCTGTTACTAAATGCTTTGGTTTCTGTAGTTACTTGGGGCTTAAAACAAATCTCTGCTTTTGTGTTTTCCTTGAGCGGTCTAGGTAAGAGACCCCTCGCCCCCACCCCAAACGCACCACGGATCTCACCATAACTTCATCAAACCTTGTGTTTGGTGATGGAACAAAACGAAAGCGCAATGTTTAGAAACGCCTTAATAGGCAACTTCATGTGCATCTACGTAGTGGTGCATACTGGATTTTTTTATTTTAGAGGAAGCCAGGAGCTCTATAAAACTCATGCTATAGATTCGAGTTAGAGCTTGATGGAATCTCATATATGGTACAGTTATAATGTCTTCTAGAACACAAAACTGACAACAAATGTCTCTCATTAACATATATTACATAGAGAGGGGCGAGCATGATCAATGTTTATTAAATATACTGTAAAGTCGCAACAAAACTCAGTAAATGCTAATAAAAACAATGTATATATGGTTTTGAACGATATAAATGTATGGATGTATATGTATACACACACAGAGGAAATGTTTCAGGGTACTTCTCAGGAGAGGAAGTAGCTGACCTCAGATTCAGAGTATCTTAATCATTTCCTCAGTGTCTAAGCTCTAGATTATGTTCTATAAAAAGCTTTAAATTTTAAACATGAACAAAATTAAAAAATATGAACAGAAAAATATTTTTTAAATGTTTGCCTGTTTCTACATGGTTAAATTGGGAAAAAAATTGAAAAGCAAAGCCTTCACTAAAAATGGACCTATAAATTTGAAAAAACATGATTTTGTTTTTTCGAGACAGTTTCTCTGTGTAGCCCAGGCTGGCCTCGAACTCTGAGATCTGCCTGCCTCTGCCTTCCTAGTGCTGGGATCAAAGGTGTGTGCCTCCACTGCCTTGCAGAACATTATTGTAGTAATAGATATTATCCTAAAGGCAATTTCTCCTTATAGTTATTAGGGTTTTTTTTTGTTGTTGTTGTTGCTGTTGTTTGTTTGTTTTGTTTTTTTGAGACAGGGTTCTATGTGTAACAGCCCCAGCTGTCATGGAACTTGTTTTGTACACCAGGTTGGCCTTGAACTCAGAGAGATCCACTTGCCTCTGCCTCCTGAATGCTTTTTTCTTTTCCTTCTTTCTTTCTTTCTTTCTTTCTTTCTTTTTTTTTAATTTTTATTATTTTTAATGTGTCTTTTCTTGACATGTGTGACATGTGCAGATTCCTGAGGACAGAGATGTTTGAATCTCCTGAACCTGGAGTTACCGACAATTGTGAACTCCCTGGTGTGGGTACTGGGAACTGAATTTAGGGAAGAAAAGCACACTGCCCTTAACCAGTGAGCCCTTGCTCCAGCCACTGAGGTTTTAATCACAGCACCATCCATGCCCAGCATTCAATCTGTGACTTACAAAGAGCTACACTGTAGATGCCTGATGTTCCCTAAGCAAAAACTTCACTTTGAGTCTGTTGAGTTGCCCACCTTCTTAATCGCTGGGACACTATCATCCGGTGAGTGTGTTTGTGTGTTCTTGCAGAAACTAAATTTCTCGGGAGACATGACTGTTCTCATCCACTCTCAGAAATGTTGCTTTTCTAACAAATAAATAATTGGAGATGCCATGGGTATACCTTCAGAACTAATTTTAGTGATGGAAGTGAGGGGGCTTCAAGACAGGGTTTCACAGTGCAGTTTTGGAGCCTGTCCTGGATCTCACTCTGCCCAGGCTGGCCTCGAACTCTCAGAGATCTGCCTGGCTCTGCCTCCCGAGTGCTGGGATTAAAGGCATACGCCGCTGCCTCCCGGCCGGCAGTTTTGTTTTTAACTCTGCTGTAGAATTCCAAAGTAGAGAATATTTTTTTCTCATATTCTGTATAAGTGAAGGTCAGGAAGTTAGGCTAGGAAGTCTGTTCCTAATTACCATTTCCAAGCTTTATTCCAACAATCCGTTGTTCCTCTGATAGCCTTTGCTAGCTTCACGGCTTCCTTTACCAACTTTGCTGATGTTTGCCAGAAGTTAACTTTGGTTTATTTTTGGCCAGAGGACCTTGCCCTGTGTTGCTCAGAATGGCAGTGAATCCGAGGGCTAAGGGCTCCCCGACCCAGCTCAGCAGGGGCACCTCACGGTTCCCTTTGAGCTCCGCCTTAGTCTGTGTGACGTCAGCAGGGGGTGACCTGAGCAGCACCAGCAACCGCCCCTGCCCCTGGGTCACCTTCTTACCACCACGCTGCCCCTGCCTTTGGCCTCACCCACGTGGTTGGACCCGACCTTCATCAATAATTGCTGTCCTCCTCCATCTCTGTTTCAGGATCCCAACTGTTAACGACTAGGCTTTGTGCTCACCTAATGTGTTGTACTCTCTTTCCTAGTTACAACGTCCCACACAGCTGGGTGGGGTCACCAGCATTGAGGGGGCTGAGGCAGGAGCATAGCAAGTTTGATGTCAGCCTGAGCTACATAGCAAGAGAGACCTTGATTTAGTAACAGAAGATTGAGTATCTTATTGCCTAAAATAGAAAAAAAATAAGTATTTCTATTGAAATGGGTACTAAACTAAGAAAAATCCTTAAAATACAAGTGATGTGCCGGGTGGTGGTGGCGCACGCCTTTAATCCCAGTACTCGGGAGGCAGAGCCAGGTGGAGCTCTGTGAGTTCGAGGCCAGCCTGGACTACCAAGTGAGTTCCAGGAAAGGCGCAAAGCTACACAGAGAAACCCTGTCTCGAAAAACCAAAAAAAAAAAAAAAAAAAAAAATACAAGTGATGCCTAAAACCTTGAGAATCAATGGAAAAATATTTGGGAGTTAATGGAAAGGTTTAAAACAAGATTTGGTGCAATTATTTTGTCATAAAGCTTTTTTTGCTTTAATTTTTCTGTTGCTGTTAGGGGTTGAATTGACATTCTGTACATACAACGTAACCACATTCTCATTCCCAAAGCTTTATTTTTTTTCAACCATTTGGATAACTGCATCCCTTTTTCATGCTATTCATGTGCACTTGACTTTTTTAAAAACTGTTTTACATGGGATTGGTTGTGAACTTCAGGATTTCACATTACTCATCCCTAATGACTTATTCCTGCCACTATGTCCCATTTCCTACAGACTTTACAGCTTCAGAGTCACCACAAACTGATGACCAAGTGCTCAAAACTAGCCTTTGGGGGACATTCCAGATTTAAACCATAACAAAAACCTCATAATATATACATACACATGAGGAAATGCTGCAGGGCCATAGAAACATATTATTGACATTTTTTTGAGTGTGCCAGGTGTGGTGCTTCTTGCCTTTAATCTCAGCAGTTGAGAAGCAGGAGCTAGTGGAGCTGTGAGTTCGGAGCCAGCCTGGTCTACATTCTGAGTTCCAGCCACAGCTACGCAATAAGACCTTGTCTCAAGGGGGAAAAAGGTGGGGGCAGGGAATGGTGGCACATGGCTGTGATTCTTGCGCTTGGAAGGCCGACTGTGCATTAAAGGCCAGCCGAAGCTACATAGCTGGTATCAAGAGAATCAAGTAGTCCTGGAGCGATGGTTCCGTTTCCACACACAGAACCAACACAGAGGTGGATGGAGGGAGAGACCTGACGCCACAGAGTTGTTCTCTGACCTCTCTATGCCCCCTACATCAGGCACGTGCAAACACTACATCATCACCACCACCACCACCATCATCATCATCATCATCATCATCATCATCAATAAGTTAAAACCCATGCACGGACTGGAGCGGCGGCTTAGCAGATAAGGACACTTGCTTTTTCAGAGGACTGGAGTTCAGTTCCCAGCATCTACATCAGCTTACAACTGCCTATAACTCCAGTTCACAGAAACCCGGTGTCCTATTCTGAGCCCTGCAGGTATGACAAATCCACAGAGAAAACATTTTTTAAAATTAAAAAAAAAAAAAAAAGCAAAGGGAAGGAAAGAATACTGTTAGTCGTTTGTTGTCACACCGACACTGTATCTGAGCCAACCAGCCTACAGAATGAAAGGATCGTGTTGGCTCACAGTTTCAGAGCTTTCAGCCGTGATTGGCTGTGACAAGGCATAAACATTACCACAGAAGGGCGTGGTGGAGGAAAACTCTCACCTCATGCCTCATGGCAACTGAGAAGCAGAGAGACGGGAAGGCAGGAGAAACAAGATATACTCTTCAGGGGGCTGGAGAAGGCTCCGTGGTTAAGGCATTTGTTTTGTTTTGTTTTTTTGCA